ATCGTTGGAATAAGCTGTTGGAGCGTTTTCCACGACACCATCGAGAGGGAAGATCCCGAGTCTACCTCCATCACGCAAGGTTTGTTTTCGATAGCGACCTCTACTCGGATTTTCCCGGCATCAAGGGATGTAGCGTGGCCTATGGTGATTGTTTGGTGGGTCTCTTCCCGCCTGGTTTCTTCCCGCCTGGTGGAAGTGGTGGACGGCTTGTTTCTGTAGGAGTGGTTCAATTTTTCTCGGTGTGTGCCGAAGAATCCGGAAGACTGGAATTCGGCCTGTCGGGGTTTGGAGTTCTCTTTGCTTCTGCAAACCTTTGCGATGTGACCGCGTCTCCCGCAATGGCGGCAAAGTGCGTCGAGGAATTTGCAGCCGGATCGTGGGTGATTTGCTCCACAGCCGGCACACGGTCGAAATGAGTGTTGTGTGGACTGGTCTCTCTCCCTTCGAAGTCGGTTGACCTCTTCCTCATCGCTGTCGGACGGGGACTCTAGGTCTTCGTGGTGAGTTGATACCGGGTGTCTCTCTGAGCGAGGCGAGGTATCAGTGGCGAGTTTACGTAGCGGTGCGTTGGTGCGGCGCATTTGGGCTGCCGACTTCTTTGTCGCCTCCGCTGCCGAGGCTTCTTTAAGGGCATCGGTGAGGCTGATGTCCCCCTTAGCCATAATTTTGCTCTGGATAGTGCTGTCTTCTAGGCCCAGAACCAGGCGGTCCCGGAGGGCTTCTTCTAAGTCTGCGAACCCGCAGAGGCCTCCTAGGTTCCGGAGGTCCGCGATGTAATTGGCAAGGCTTTCGCCCTTCCGTTGGTCCCTCTGGTAATATTCGTGTCTTCTTACTAGGGTTGGCACGGTGGGCGCGTAGTGAGCCCGTAGTAACGGTTCGAGGACGTCCCAGTCCATTTCTTTTACCTCTGCTGGCTTGGCAAGCAACTTTGCCATTTTAAACACGGTTGGTCCACAATGAGTTAGAAAGATAGCTCTTTTTTTGCCGGTTGTCGCATCTTTCAAATTGTTGGTTTCCAGAAACATCTGGAACCGATCCATGTAGGCCTCCCAGTCTTCGGTTTCTGGGTTGAATGGAGCGGGTGGTACGGCACCGCTGGCCATGTTGCCGTTGATGGTGCGTGTTCGACCACGTGCTCTGTTAGTTGCTCTGTAGGTTAGTCAGCTCTTCGGTCTCCGGATCCCACCTTCGTCGCCAGTGTTAGGTATGGAGAATAACGGAGACCAGACATCTGACCAGTGACTTCAACTCTTTAATAAAGTGATAGAACATAACAGAGCAATGGTATGGGCAGCAGTAACCCTTTTATAGGGTTAGCTGCTGCCTTATTAACCAATGAAAATGTGCAACAAGTTCAAACTACTGACCAATAAGGACAGTCCCAAAAGTGGCCAATCAGGGACTGGTTCTGGCCCAATCCCAAGTTGTTGTATAAGGACCAATCAAGTGTGCAGGTTTTCAACCCCTAATTTGCATTTAGGTTATTCACTTTTATTGATTCACAACAGAAGCATCTTCTGGCACGTGCAGAAACTGCTCCAAAGGAACACTTGCCCAAATCTTCCTCAAAGCAGAGTCAGCCCTAGAAATGATTCTCAACAGGCCTTTCTTCTAAGTTTAGTGCTCCAATTTGCAGGGTTTTTACATAGCTGATAGCAGAATTTATTCCAAGCTCTTAGATTTGTTAGTTGGGGTCATCTAATTTACTCCCCCCCCCCTGCATAAACCTTGGTTTAAACATCACAGTGGCAGCTTTTGTCTCAATTAAGTCCTGACCAAGGCACATTATGGTTTAGTAAAGTGTGTTAAATCAGCCGATGGATATACATTTTTGATAATATTTTTTTCAAACAGGAGATATAATTTTGAGGGTAATACTTGGGAACAGAGCGGGTGATGTAGAGGAAGGGCACTTCCAAACTTTCTCAGGGGGTAAAAAAAAACAGCCTTATTCAGTGAATTGAAAGAGGAAAATGTTAGGCCAGGAAGCAGAAGTGCCACTGTTCCTGCTGCTTCTACACTCACAAATTGCTCCCCACTGGGATAATCTCTTTAAAAAAAAATATTGGACAAGTATTGTCACATACTGTGACATGTACTATGTTATTTGAGCATAAATATTGTCAGGGTTTGTTTTGTTCTGAAAAAGTTTTCCCTAGAGTTTCTATCCATAAGACCAATACTTTTGCTCTGTTGCCATTTCTTACATCCATTCTTAATATAATAGAAAAAGTGTGTGTTTTTTAATAGCTGGCCTTCCTCCTTTTGTTGTTAAATCCTACTGTATGCTCTGCAGCTTTGTGATACTTTTAAAATATGATTTTCTCTCTATATTCTTTATATATTCTATCTCTTCTTACAAGGAGACAAAGAGGTGATTGCAACTTTAGATTCTCTCTTTTCGGGTACCTGGTCTATAGATTGGTAGAGCCTTACAAATCAAAACCTCAATGCCTCATCAGAATATTTAAAACCTGATAAACGTTCTATTCATATACACATTCAACTTCACAATGTTATTTTATTCAGTTTGAAAGGTATGAGCTGGGAAGGTATGAAATATGGGAAGAAAAAGTGTTTCTTCATTTCCCCCCACAATTGTCCAAAGATCTATAAATAAATGAAATGCTGCCACAGAGTTTTGCTGAGTGAAGTGCTTATCCTATTTCTCCAAACAAAGAGTAAATATGCCTCCTATCAGAACAACGGGACTGGAGAACAGATTAACTGTTCAGCAAAGCTGTATATCATGAGCATGGCACCATGTTGTAAGAGAATCTTGCAAGTCTGGATGTGCCTCCCTTCCTCCCCTTTTATCTTCATGTGAATTGTGTTTGTGTGAATGTATATCTTAGGCATCATCATAAATCTTTACCTTCATATGGGCTCAAGCCACATTTATCTGTTTGTTGCCTTGGTAAATATATCTTCCCTCTCTACATTCAGTCCATCCTTTTTACATTTTTTGTGGGTTACAGCAGTGGCCCCCAACCTTTTTTGTGCCATGGCCCGGTACCGGCATCACAAAATGATCCGCGGCCCGGTACCGCCATCAGCATGCATGACAAGGCAAGGCAAGCCAAGCGACCGGCCAGCCAGCTGTCCTCCGCTTCTCCCCGCCACCTTCAACTCCTCCTTTGTACCTTTGTCGATGGGCTTCGCTTCGGGACGGCTTCGGGACGGTCGCTCGGCTCGCCTTGCCTTGGGTGCTGAAAGAATCCTCGCGCCTTAGTTTCATTCGAAGCCCCCCCCTTTGATGAAACTAAGGCGTGAGGATTCTTTCAGCACCCAAACGCCACTTTCCAACCGGAAAAGCTCACCCAGAAGCACTTTCTCGTCAAACAGGATGGCGGCACCCAGCAAACCGGCGGCCCGGTAGGAAATGTTCCACGGCCCGGTACCGGTCCGCGGCCCGGTGGTTGGGGACCCCTGGGTTGCAGGACACAGATGGCATTAGACAAATATGTGTGGCTGGAGGGCTCAGGATGGAGGTGGTGTCACTGTCTGGTCCTTCTGGATCCCTCAGTCATGATACTATTCACCATGGTATTCTTCTGGACCAACTTCAGGGATTGGGAGTGGTCCGTCTCCTTTCTCCATTGGTGGTGATGATGTTATCTAGGGCAATGGAAGGTCTGCAAGACAACAACAAAAGCTCAGAGAGCACCAAGAATCATGTTTTTTAATTGATTTGTAGTAGGTTTTAATAGTAGGCTTTGTTGTAAGCTGCTCAGAACAAATGGGTGGCCATATAAATTTGAGAAATAAGTAAAATAAAAAAAAGTTTCACAAGTAAAAAATAAAAATCTATTTCTTAGAATAACTTAAAGCCTTTAGACATCACCTAGTTGAGATTCCTAAGAACACTATTCCAAGTACTTTGCTGTCTCCAACAGTGGCACTCAAGTTTAAAAACTGGAATGATCTCCCTGGAATCCAAGGCTGGCATATGCTGATTTATTTTTGGCTCAATTTTCACTTTTCTAGTGACTCTCTGACTGCTGCGAGCCTACTTGATAAATTTTCCTCTTCCTGGAAAATTTATGCCAGTGAGGCTTCTCAAGTGCAGCTCTCTTGGCTGAGAGGTTTCCAAGAGCTAGAGATGCTACTCAACGTCAAACAGGCATTTGACGTAGCCTTCCAAGTAAAGCAGGGTGAATTGGGTCATTTACTCTGGCAATACATAAATAGGAAACCATTCACACCACAAATTATCTATGCAATATTACCTGCCCAGTATATTGACAAGCTTTTTTCCTTAGCTCATTTTAATGCCTTGCCCTTTGCAATCTTGGAGGGAAAGTGTTAATAATAACTCTTTTGCAGAGCGAACCCACCCATTGGAGGAACCTGAAACTCTTAAGCTTATGCTTTTCTTAGTCAAAGTTTCTATAGCAACTTGCATCCTATCTTTATAACTCCACTTTCTACTAGTAAAAAGTATAACTTTCTAGTAGTTGTGAGGATGACTTCATTTGCTTCTTACTGTTGGGCAGGAACCATGCCATCTCTAGGGAAGTTGCAAATTATTTTTGACCTTCATTACTTTGTGCCAGAAACTATTCCTTTAAGTGTTAGGACTTCACTAATGGACAATTCAATTAAAAATAATGTGTTTCTCGTTCTTTATGGTTTTAGCCCCCTTCTATATTTCACCAGTCACTGACTCTTAACAAGATTTACATGCATTTACACACATACACACCCTTGACAATTTAGTATTTAGAAACATTATCATTTTTTAAAAACTACAAAGTACTTTTCTAATCCTGTTTATTTGTTACAATACTAAGACGCCTTAGTATTTTATAAGTTACCTTTATAGTATTATAATGCATTATATTATTCGCTGCTACAGTATTGGTTTTAGAAAACATCTATTCTTTTTCACTTGAACCTTGTGTCCGTGTGTCCGTGTGTGTGTGTGTGTGTGTGTGTGTGTGTGTGTGTGTGTGTGTGTGCAAAGGTTCCTGACTGGCTTCTCTTCGCCTTTGCTCCAGGTAGATGATTTGAAGGCCAAACTGGCAGCTCAGGAGGTGGAGCTGAAGCAAAAGAATGAAGATGCCGACCAGCTGATTCAGGTGGTGGGCACTGAGACCGAGAAAGTCAGTAAGGAGAAGGCCATTGCTGATGAGGAGGAGCAGAAGGTGGCCTTGATTACTGAGGAGGTGCAGCAGAAACAGAAGGACTGTGAGAAAGATTTGGCACAAGCTGAACCTGCCCTTGCTGCTGCCCAGCAAGCCCTGAACACGTTGAATAAGGTACTTAAGGAGGGTGGAGTAATGTTTCCTAATATCCCACTTACCTAGGAAGATCTCTGCATTCGTACAGGGAGAGCCATACCTTCATATCCCATGTTTTCCTTCACTTATGGTGACTTATTGATGTAAAAGAAAGCATGAAGAAGGGAATTGCCTCTCTTTATTATTTAATTACAAACTTGTCCTTAGTTCAGAAAAAAACAACACCTGCTTTGGTTTCATAGGTAGTCCTCAACTTACAGTCACAGTTTCTGTGGCTAAGCAATGTGCTTGTTAAGTGAGTTGGGCCTGATTTTAGAACCTTTTTGTTGCCGTGGTTGTTAAACGAATAACTGCAGTTGTTGAGAGAGTCACGCAATCATTAAGAGAATCCAGCTTTCCCCATTGATTTTGATTGTTGGAAGCCAACTGGGAAGCTTGCAAATGGTGATCACATGACCCCAGGTTGTTGCAACTAACAGAAATACATGATGGTTGCCAAGCACTCAGGTTTTGATGATGTGACAACAGGGATGCTACGATGGTCTTAAGTATCTCAGGACCAGCTGTAAGTCACTTTTTTCAGTGCTGATATAATTTCAAACGGTCACTAAATGAGGTCAAGGACCATCTGTAATCATCATTCTTCATGTTCATGGACTTAACATTTAAAGCTGGACTTTTCGATATGCATTTGAATTGATTTATATACTTTGTGACATTTAGTAGCAACCCTTTAGCTTAACGGCATCGCTTGCAAATTTTCATAACATAAAATGCAGAGAGCTAGGGCTGAATGTGTCTCCATCCCAATGGAAACCCAGTTTTTAGATGCTGATTTTGTTTCCCATTCACAACTTTCTTTGTGAATTGTCAGTGAAAGATCTTAATTCCACATTGCATACCTCTACATGGATTCATAGTCTTGAACTCAAGGCCCATTCAACAGGATGAGTTTTACTCCTCAACTTGACACGGTACACGTAAGCGAACCTGTTTTTAACCACTGATTCATTTTTTTTTGTGAATCAGTAAAGACAACTTAGCATGATAAGCAACTCGAACGTGAACTTGTTGAACCTAAGAAGCAATTCTGTAAAGCACAAACAGCTCCTGTGACCTTTCCTTTGCAGAAAGCAGGCAGTGGGGGCAAGATGCAGCCACCTACTTCGCCTTCCTGTTAGCAAGACTGACTCATGAGCTCCAGGCACTGAAAGGCATGATACATGATTGAGGGCTGCAGTCCGCAAACTCCACTGAGAGTGAATTCTTGTTAGAAATGGAAGTTGTGTGACATCATGCTGGAGAAGCTGTAAGATGTCAAAGGAATTGAATGGCAAAGGGAGGAACAGGGAGGGAGAGCAAGGACAGAAATGCTGAAAGACTGAGCAGGGTTTTAGATAGCTAATGGGTGGGAAGGCTCTGGGCCACTTGGAAGATTTCTGAGGACCACAACTGAAAAACCACTGGTGTGAGGTAATCTAGTGGGCATGTAAACAGATGCTTCATTGTAAAAATTGGAATGGAATCAGCAGTCTCCAACTTTTTCAGCTTTGCAGCTAGGGGAGAAGAGGATGGTTCTGCACGAGTGACATGCGTGCAGCTCCATTTGCACAAGAGGCAAGTACACACGCAACTGCTTGCACAAATGGAGCACTTGCCCACCCATTGCACACGTAAATGGAACCGCACATGTGTGCTCGGCTGCCACTTCCGTGGTCCAGTTCTGAACAGTTCATGGCCCTGTGGTTGGGGATCTAGATAACTCTTCTCCAAACTAAGCTATCGAATGGATCTTGCTTTAAAATTAGGGAGTCCATTTGGAAAAAAAAATGTTGCAAATATGACTTGAAATTTGAGGATCATTTCACATCAGTAAGCTACTTCAGCCAACAATAGGGAGAGGAGGTGATTTGAAAGTTGCTACTTTATAGTGGGCTTAATATGGCTGGTGTGGGGAAGTTCCTTAAGCCAATGTTGATATTCTATTAGCTGTTCATCAGCTGAATTGTTCCCTGATTGTGTTATGAGTCAGGTAAACTACCCCTCCCTAAAAACCCAGGCAGCTGAGAAACGAATACACAAACAAAAAGAGGTGGCAACTAAGCAAAAGTACGAAACAGTGGCAATTTCCCATTTGCTTCTGTACAACATCTCATTAAGGTAAGATTAATGGGAAGCCTGAAGCTTCCCTGGAGACAAGGTGGCAGCATTTGCAGACACTAAACGCCACATGCTCCTTCTCACCTGCATCAGAGAGTTTAGCCCATCAATTGACATGAATGATTGGCTGTGGATGTGTGTTTATTCATAAGTTTCAACCAGTAATCCAGATCTAGTATCCTTGTGCTTTTTAATGAAGCAGCACCAGGGGAAAGTATCAGCATTGTTTTTTTAACTAAAAGTAATGAAAAATACAGGTTGTCAGGAAGGGAGAAGGGACGGAGGTAATGAAATAGATTGCTTGGACTTAGCTTTCAATTGCTTAGCATGCAGTTGTACTGCTATCTAATAAATTTAATCATAACTAATGGAATCAACTGCTACCTGTGTGGAATAGTTTCTCGTTAATGCTCTGATGCTTTGTATAACAGTTTTTTTTTAAAAAAAGATTGCCTACCTCATATTCTCACCTGGCTTTTGTACCTTGCTGCTTTATGGGAATCTGTATCCTACTGCAGATACTTTCTTGGCTAAAAGAATTAATGCCAAAATGAAAACATTTTTGGACTATTAGAGTTATTAGCTGATTTCAGCCTTTTAGGCTCATATTGGATATCTGGATGATGCTCTTAGAAGTTCAAGATAAAGTCAAGAAGACAATGCTTGATAGACATTCTAGGACTGGAATACTGTTGCTTCTACCCAGGCAGATGGGGATCACAACTCCATAATTTTCAGCCCTCATGTTTATTTATTCATAACTGAATGATATTAAGGGAGAAAACAAACATAAATCCTTACTAGCAAATTTAATTGAAATGTCAAGAAACATGGCCAGCCCCAGATTACAGAAAGGCATCCACTATGCAGGAACTCCCAGACCAGACCAACCCAACTCAACCCAACCAACCAAACCAAACCAAACCAAACCAAACCAAACCAAACCAAACCAAACCAAATCAAACCAACCAAACCAATCAAACCCAACCCAAACCAACCCAACCCAAACCAACCAAACCAAACCAAGGCATCAGGAATTTTCTGACCACAAAAAGGATTGTCATTAAGCATAAATGTAAGACTGAGTTACAAAAATTGAGGCCCAGGTCAATGTTTTAACAAATAGATTGTACAATAGGGACACTGAAATTTAGGGTCCAAAAGCAGTCAGAGCAATAGAACAAAATATCTGCTACAAGGGCTCTCTTCTGAGGGAAGACAGACACAAAATAGCAGTTAAGAAGTTCTTGCTGTTCACCATCCCCGTTGCAGCCTCTCCACTTTGATTTATTATTTCTAACAAACTCAAATTCTTTCTTTCTTTCTTTTTACATTGATATCCCTTGCAAATCTCAGCTCATTCTGAGCTGTAACATTTTTCACAAAGTTTCTACAGGCTTTGGAGATTATTTGTAGTCTTTATTTATGATATGCTTTTTTCCATTTCTTAGGCATGCCCCCCCCACCCTTTGCAGTGTTTTTAGAGAGTTCTGCATGTATCCACATTGGCTTATTATATTTTCCCCATTTTTTAAAAATAGGAATTGTTTGCAGTGGATCTTCAGTATCTGATTTCTTAGAATGTCCTATTATTCCTGGTTACTTTTCTCCTTCAGGATTTGAAGCCACTGGATTTGAAATAGCTTCCCTCTGAATTTTCAGAATTTGCTGTTCTAATATCCGCTATGCAGATCTGACTTTCTTCCCTTCCTCCTCCAATCTGATGTCACAACTTTGAGGATAATACTTTCCCACAGGGTGGCAGTCACGTTTACTTCCTCACCCATTTCCCCCCCCCCCTTGGTGTGATTTAGATCCAGGGCAGCAGAACCCTTTGTTCTTCCTTCCACCTTCTGACAAATGAAGTTGTTGTCAAGAAAGAGAATAATTTGTTGGCAAATCCCCAGCAGATGTCAGGATAACTGAACCTCCCATTAGTACTACTGCATGCCTTTTTGAAAGATTGGCCAACTGATGCAGAAAGACCTCATCTGTTCTTCTGCCTGCCCAGGTGGTGTATAATAAATTCTCATAATAGGATTACCTCCCCCCACCTCTTTTATTCTAACCTAAATACCTACCGTGCTCTGATTCACATATTTCTGTACAAGGATATGTTTTTTCTTTATATACGTACATGCAACTCCCCTTCCCTCTTCTTTTAGATTGGTTCCTGTAGCCTTCTGTTGCTATGTGCCAATCATGAATACCATCATACCTGGCATCTTATTTGTCTTCTCAAAGTAGGATTTCTAGTTCTCCTGTTTACTTCCCCTACTCTGGGGAGGTTGGTATAGGAACACCTGAATACCACCAACTGGTGTCCTCCAAAAGTCTGGTCCCCAATGAGGTTTCTCATTCCTCTTTCATGTTCTCTTTTCTTGGCCCCAGTATTAGACTGCTTATTTGTTTTGAGTTTTTGCCAACCTCCCCCTTTTATTATGGTCTGATCCCATCTTGATGAGAATGGCAAGCTGCTGACAAGCTTTTTCCCTGTTTGGTTTTTATATCCAGTCACTTTCCTGGAGTCCTTTATGAACGTAGTGTAGGCCATTGTCTGGAGCATAGAGTTTTCTTAACAACATTTGCATAGCCAATTGTGTACTTCGGTTTCCTCTTTGAAACATTATTTTTGATTTTTCACTGGAAAGATAACAATCCATCCCCCTTGGCTTGTGTAATTTACAGAAAAGCACCTTGCACATGTTACATCTTAACCTTACTTTAATAAATCCTAGTTTCCCAGCTGGAACTTGAATGTCCAAAGAACATTAGTAAAAAAAATGTGGTTCCTCCTCCTCCTCTCCCTCCCCACCCCAAAATATGTCTGTCCTCCTGCACTTCTGAATGGGCACCACAGCATCAAACAACCATTGGAGATGCTCTATCTAAGCGTAGCTTTATTTGTATTTCAAAAGACAGAAGCAATATAGAATTATCAGAGAAACAGAATACAAAGCAATGATGAATAATAAAGGAGAAGGATGTAAATCTTTTTAGCTTTATGATTTGGAAAAGATAATGAATTCAAATTCACATCTTAGTCAGTTGTAGTGGCATCTGGTGGGGAGGAAGCATAAGGAGAGACATGGGAAGTCAAGGTGATAACAGCATCATTGTCACATCAAAGCGAGTCCCACTCCTGATCTCCTTAGGCCATGATGTTGCACATAAGGCCAACAGGGCAAACATTTTCATTCTGTCTGTACCTGCAACAGCTTGAAATGCTGCAGATGAGCCATCCTTTAGAGCAGGGATGTCAAACTCATGGCCCACAGGCCCACAGGATGTGTCACGTGCTGGCCATGCCCATGCCTGGTTTAGTGAAGAGAGAAAAAGTTGTGCTATGTTGTGATGACGCTTTAATTACACAAGTTTGACACCCCTGCTCTAGAGGTTTTAAAGCAGGATGGACACATTTGTGGTAGTTAAAGCTATCAATGCTACCTCCAAGTCCAAAGGTGAGGGAAGCCTGCTGCCTTCATGGGCTTCCTAGTATTTTCTAATTGACCAGAGGATGAAAGGGGTTGTAGAGGATGCTCCAAATCCTACTACCTTCAGACGTAGACAGAGTGAAATGAATCAAGCAATGGCAGCAGTCTCTAAGATCCTGGGCTTAGATCAGTAATTCTGTGAAACTCTACATCTATCATCTCTGGTGAATATAGGAAGTCCCACAGTGAAAACCATTTGAGTAGCATTGTTAAATTACTCCTCTGCCTGAAATAGAGTTGTGTGGGTGGAAAATCTAGGCCTATTACAAGTACATGTTGAAATGTATCTCAGCTAAATCCTTCTGGCAATGTCACTCTTAAACAAAAGTTGGGGTGATTTATCTGCCAGTGGAATCTACCTGGAGCTGAAATACTTTCATTTATTTTCTAACAAGGAACGGTGACATCTGTGTTAGGACCACAAAGACAGCAGTTTGCTATATTTCTGATTTTGTTAATCTATCATCCAGGTGGATTAACAATATGAATGTGTACATGCTAGCAGCAACACCTTTGGTACCAGCTGCAGTATGCAACAGCTGTATCACAGAAAGAGCCTTTCATATTGCAGTGTGGCATTCATTTACAGTTTTGTACAAGAGATGGTTCTTTACACATGTCTTTAACTTTAAGCATACAGCCATTTGAAAACTAAATGAATATCCACTGCAGTTGGACCTGAATGGAAGGCTTTACCTTCTCACAGATTTAAGTCAATGTGCAACAAAGTTCTAGGTGAGCACTGAATTCACACACTGTAAAGTGGTTTATTCAGTTTTGATTGTGTGCTTTTGTCTGTTTTGGAAAATTGCAGTGGATAATTTCTACTTCTACTGATTTCTAGCCAATCCCTATATCCAGATCAGAGGAGGCATAGATTTCACTCAGTTCAGTTAGCAAAACTGTAACTTGTTTTTTATTTATTAAACAAGAGAGGGAGGGAGGGAGAGAGAGACAGAGAGAGAGATGATTAGCAAGCAATGTATGTATTATCTATATATCAAAAGGCACAGAACCTTGCAGCACCACTGAAAACAATAGTGTGGGAAATTAGCATGGACAGTCCCAAAGGAATGGATTTTGTTTGTTCTGCATTTAAATATTTTATATACAGAGAAGTAGCACAATAGAGAAGGAAATTAGATGTCAAGTGATCCTTCCTCTATTCTGCTCCATGAAGGAACAATTTGATGGATGTGGGATGATGCATCCAACAGCCTAAACTAGCAGTGCATTTTTTTACTTGAAATGTTGTTCCTCTAACCTGCTTTTTAAAAACATCTAAATGTTTGCATGTGTTAGATTGATACTATTATTTTCTATCTCAATGTATTTTTCATTGTTATTTCATTTGATTGACAAAGAACTGAAACGGATTAACCCAAGATCACCCAGAAATCCACATGAGTTGATGAAATATCAGAGCTCGGGTCCAATGCTCTGACCATAATTCTTTAAAATAATTTAGACAAATTCTTGGGCAATGAATTTACCTAAACTAGCTTCTCCACCATGGTATCCAAGTAGATATACTGGGACTTCAGATTCATGAATATTTAGCATTGGCTGAGAATGATGGACCTTGGGTGAATTGTCTTCCATTTTAAATATTGTTCAATGCACTGTTCATATTATTACTCTGTTAAAAGTTCACTCAGGTGTTCTTACAATGAAAATTGCTGACGAGGTGGGAAGAGGGAAAAGGATTTATGCTGACATTGACCCTAACCAATCAATCAATGCAATAGCCTCCAGGCTCATAGTGAAAACAACATGGCCCTGCTTGTCCAAATTATTACAAATCAGTATCTTGCAGTATCCATACTATTCAAATATGTATGACTGTCTACAGTTCTTGGGGTAGGTCAAATCCAGCAAGCAAGCAAGTTCAGAATGGGGATTGTTATATTCTCTAGCTGGCTGCATGGGTACTAGGCATCCATTTGACAACTTCAGCATTTGATTAACAAAACAGTTAAGGGTGGATGGAATCACTATGAAATTGATATACAGTTAACCTGAAAACTGTAGTCAGAGCACGCTTGCTAAAGGTTCTTCAACAGACCAGCGAGAGGCATTGAGGTTCAGTTCTGCGTCCTTTGCTCTTGTAGATAATTCTATTAATGACTTGGATGAAAGAAGTGCCAGAAATAATTATTAGGTAGCGCTGGATAGCTAGAAGACAGAAATAATAACTTTGGTAAGTTAGTAAAATAGCCTGAATAAAGCAGGAAGAAATTTGAGTCAAATGATATACTCAACTTAAGAAGTGCCAGAAATAAACATTAGGTAGCGCTGGATAGCTTATACCCTAGAAGACAGAAATAATAACTTTGATAAGTTAGTAAAATAGTCTGAATAAAGCAGGAAGAAATTTGAGTCAAATGATATACTCAACTTAAGAAATAGGAATTAAACACACAGAGATAGGATGGACTTCAATGCTTCAGTGGCTTCTTCTAATTCTATAACTTTGATTTCCTTCCAGACTCTTTACCCTGGCACTCAGGTCCAAAGCAGGTTTTTTTAATGGATTTCATATATATTTTTAAAAAACAAAACAAATGTTCTTTATCAATGTCCATTGATTATCAGAGTAAGAATCCTTGTGTAGAGTGACATTTGCTCTGCCAGGTTTCTTATGTCTGTTGAATGGCGGTATATTATATGCATTTCTTCTTGGTTTGATGTGATAGTATTTGCTCATAATAGCTGGTCCATACTATTGGTTTTAAAAATCTGCATGCTCTTAAGTTTGCTGTTGTCAGTCCCATGATGGGTGGTGGGTAGGATTCTGCTTTGGAACTTGCCATTGTGTGACAGAAGAGGTCTTACACAAGCCATTTCCAGCTAAATGTTTCTTTTTAGTTGCTTTAGGGAAACACTATATGTGTCATATTCCGATATTGAAATGATAAGCTCTTTTTAATAGCTTGATTTGAGTTAATGAAAATCAGGAATCAACTGCATGATATGGACATAAAATTAGAGTTTTTACCATGGCTTCTTTGTCAGTATGTTGTATGATGAAGCTCTGACAAAGTTTCAGTGTTACATATGTGTTTGAATACATGATATGTCAAACATTTGTTCTGTAATGGAAGAAGCTAAACACACAAGTACAGCAAGAAAAGACTTTACAAAGGACTTGAGAACTTAGTCTGAGTACATTTAATTGTTATAGATTTCACAAGAAGGACTGAGCTTCAGTGCCCCTCACTGAAATCAGTGATATTTTAGCTTTGGCCAAGCATGAAGAATGGAGTTCCTCCATTTTGGAAATTCTAAGATACTTTTGAGTTCATCAATCCATAATATCCTATTTGATTGTATGAAGATGGATTCAGAAGTCATAGTATGACATAGGTAATATTCTGATGTCTACATTCACATAAAGGTTCTAGTTGTACTCAGTGACCGGTCAGTCAGCAAGATTGTTTTTATCAAAAGTACATGGGAATAGGCATGAGGCAGCTTCACTATGTAGCTTGTTGCTATTGATGCGTTATGATTGCAGCCACAGGGTACCATAATGGTGCTTCATGACCCAAATCACTTTAACTGATGCTGGCTAAAGATTCATGAGGCAGACATTTTTCTGAAAATGTTCAGTTAAGGTCCATGTTTAAACTCCTTCTGCAGCTGCAGACATACATTGTATATTTCAGGCCAGGCTGATCTTTTCCTGGTTATGCTTATTTTTCCATATCATGTAAATCTGAAATCTAATTGGGCTTTTTCCCGTGTCCTGCAATTTGGCTGAAAAGCCAAAGAAATGTGATTGGTTCTCACACTTAACAAGCAGTTAATGGCCCCAAGCCACTAGAGGGATTCATTGCTTTACAAAACATGAGTCATAATATTTAAAATTCAGAGTGCCATCCCAGGCTTCAAAGCTTCTCTCTCCGATTAATAGCTCTAGTCTAGAGGTTACTCCCATTACCAGAAAAGTAAAAAAGAAAACCGATTCATTTTCATCTCACAGGCTTGGTCTTTTTCTTCTCCCCTTTCAGACCAATCTGACAGAACTGAAGTCATTTGGATCGCCACCATCTGCTGTCAGCAATGTTACTGCTGCCGTGATGGTACTCATGGGTTCGGGTGGTAAGGTCCCCAAGGACAGGAGCTGGAAAGCAGCAAAGGTGGCCATGGCCAAGGTTGATGGGTTCCTAGACTCCTTGATTCACTTCAACAAAGAGAATATACATGAAAACAGCCTCCGAGCCTTGCAACCTTATCTTCAGGATACAACTTTCAACCCAGAACTGGTGGCATCCAAGTCCTATGCAGCTGCTGGGCTCTGCTCCTGGGTCATCAACATCGTGCGCTTTTACAATGTATACTGTGATGTCGAGCCCAAGCGTCAGGCTCTCAACAAAGCCAATGCGGAGCTTGCTAATGCCCAGGAAAAGCTGGCTAACATCAAGGCCAAAATTGCAGTAAGTCTGAATGCAAAAAAGCAACCTAGGAAATTAAGTGTAAAGTGAAATCAGCATTGCACCTTGAAATTCTTGGCATAGGTTACTCTCTAGAGCCTTAAACATGGGCTTCTTGCATAAGTAGCTGCTGTAGAAAACCACCCTGCATTTTGCCTAAAGAAAGTACCATGGCTTACTTTAAAACTGGGTGGTGCCTGTACCGTAGTAGTATTAAAAAATATTTTTTAAAAATGATCATGCAGTAATCACTATGCAAGTTAAAGGTTTTCTGAGTAATTAAAATGCAGAATAAAATGACCAGAAAAGTGGTGACAATTGACCACTTGCAAAATTGCTTTGCCTTTTTTGGACTTAACATTTTAAATTCTTCAAATGCATCAGCCATAGTGAAAGTTTCAATTATTTGCAGCCTGAAGAGCAATTGGTGAGCAATCCCAAGTCTAGGTGATTGATTATTTAATGATACTTCAGGTTTTGCTGTAAGGTTTTTGGAAATTATTGCTGTAATAATATGTATATATGTATATATGTATATATGTATATATGTAGGTCTAGGTGTGTTTGGGTCCCACTCGCCATCCTCAGGCTGGTGCTTTCGGCTTCGTGCCAGTGCAAGCAGTGCAACCTGACGCACACAATACACAAGCCTGATGATGGCAGATGAGCTTCTGCCAAAACGTCGCTACAACTTTAAAAGCACAACTATAATGACGTGGGAAAATACCCGAACAAAGCTGAATAATATATATATATATATATATGACTATGACTTGACTTTTTTTAAAAAAATTAAACTAAGTCCATGTATTATAAACATCGTGACTTTTAAGAATTACATGACAGGCAGAAACCAATATACTCGTTCCAACTGTGTTTGATAGTAGACTGTCTACTAGGCTGTTTACTTGTCAACTAGGCTAAGCAAAGCATTTGTGGCTGAATTTCAGCAGAATTGATATCCTTAATTGAACAGATCCTCCTCCTCCTCCCCAACTGAATCTTCCATTCAGATCTCCAAATCGGGTGCAGGAGATTAAAATTCTCTCTGAATCAGCTGTGGGGAATGTGATAGGGTGCAGAGGAAAGGTTAGGGAGAGACCACCATTTGTATAACAACGTAAATCCTTTCATGTGGTGCAAAAGTACCTCCTTCACAAATAAAAGTCCTGCTTAAAGAAGTCAGAAGCTCCAGCAAGTTTTAAGACAGAGCTAATTTAAACTGTATGCTTGCATCTGTACAGTGGCCAAGCACACATACAGACACATGCACACATGTATTTTTAGAAAGGGAGGAAGAACATTTGATTTATAGAAATTGTAGCTTGGGATTTTAGGGACAATTCTGTTCATAGATCTAGTTGTTCCAAATGCTACTAACAAAGTACGTACAATTTTCAAATTCAAGTTTATTTCTCAAGTATTGTTCAAGCAGTATTAAAATGATTTAGAAGCACTTAACTTTAAGCTATTGGTGTAAAGGCTGATAAAAATCAATTGTTAACTTCTTTTTTCACAGGAGTAAAATAATTTGGGAGCACTCTGCTTTTGTTTTACAGTGAAGTAGCAAAAATGATCAATTAGAGCGATAAAGATTGGGAGACCCATTGTGAAAGCCATTTCTCAACCATTGAAACAAAGCTAATAGAGCTATTTTTGCATGAGCCTTTCCACTTGGCTTTCTAAATAACTCCCATGAGCAGTTTTGCTCACTTAGGCTATAAACAGTACTGATACATGCGCTTTTAGGCCTGGAATTTTATATCAATGGCCAGAAATCAGTACAAGATGCAAAGGACAATGTAACTTAACAAGTTACGCCTGCCAATATTTTATTTCTGTACAGCTATTAAAGCTATAAGATATCCCCAATTCCCTTGTATCTAACCCAATGGAAATTGAGCTAGAAATATTATGAAGTTAAGAATAGAAAAAAGGCAAAATAAGCTTTGTTGAATGCATACAGGTGAATGGTAGCTAGAGAGATGAAACTTTTTCCCAGAAGAGCACCTGATGTCCACCTGGATTGATGGTCACCGGATTCTACAGCAGTTGAGGAAACTTCTGTCTGATGGGGACATTTTGGCAACAAGTTGCTAGATGTTCAGTCCAGACTTGCAGCAATTCTGGTCCTCATAGTGAGGTTTTCCTCATGCTGTGCTCCCCCAGTTTTCCATGCCAGGAAAACAATTGCTTCTCACTTTCCTCTTGGGGACATGCATAAATGTATAAAAGTATATGCACCACCAAATGTATGCAAAGTTACATTAAAAATATACATATAAAGGTGAACTATCAAAATGCACCTAAATGCAGGCACAGCAGCCAACTTTAAAATACGATTTTCTTTTCCTAGCTGTGCCTCAATAAGGTCTGCCATAGCATTAGCGTTTAGTGATTATATTTTCATGGCTGGTAGAATTTCATGAATGGATTTTTAAAAAAATATTGTTTTTCCCTGAACTACCCATTAAACTACCCACTTTACAGATAGCTCTTTACAGTGACCATAACTGAGTCCAGCAACTCAGTCATTAAATGTTACAGTTGTTTAGCAGAAAATCACATAACCATGGCTTATGATTTTATTTCTGCCTTTGCAAGCTGATTACAAAGAACATGAATGGTCATCATGTGACTTTGGAAAGTTGTGATTGGCTGTAAAGTTTTTTTTAATTTAGCACCTCGTAGCTTTGAATAGTCACTGTGCAAGTCAGTTGGTAAACAAAGACTACCTGTACTGCTTTTTAAATAGGTCCTCTGGTGCAGAAATCTCCAACCTTGGAAACTTTAAGACGTGTGGATTTCAACTCTCAGAATTCCCCAGCCAGCAGCAGTTGTGGGAGTTGAAGTCTACAAGTCTTAAAGTTGCCAAGGTTGGAGATTCCTGCTGTGGTGTACTGTTCAATCATTTTTCCAGTCAGTTAAGGTAGATGGGTTTTATTTATTTATTTGGACTGTCTGAGAGCAGAGATGAACCTTTTTGAGGTGGAAGGAAAAAGGATAAACTACTACATAGGTGGACTTATGAAAAAAACAAATACAACCCCCTCCACCACCACCACCCCCAATATCCAAGTAAATAAACACAAAAAATCCCGGGAGAAAAGTGGATATGGTAGTTCAGAGAAACAGAAAAAATATATATAATAAAAAGATTTCTGCTGGATTTCAAATGAGAGCAGTTCTGCATGTCAACCAAGTGTGTTATAACTTGGTTGGGAAAGCCAGTAGTAGAAGCTGCAGCAGTCTTTACTGAGGAAAAGCCAGTAGTAGAAACTGCAGCAGTCTTTACTGAGGTGAACTGAGAAACTGAGATGAGGGACAGATCCAAAGTACAGATGTTTGTTTTGAAGAAAATTAAAATCAGAAGGGAAACACTCTGCTAGAGAGAAGTTCTCTAAGAATGGGATCTAGCATGAGTCTGAAAGCTCAGAAGACTAAATCTCTGGTCCAAGTGACCGACCCAGGTTGGATTCTGCAACATTATCCTTGGACAGGTATATCTGCCTTCATTCCATTAGTGAGAAGGGAAACTGGACAGCTACATTTGAGTTGGCTTAAACCAACAAATACTATTTCAAACATAGAGCAAAAAAACACTGGCAGAAGTCACATTCATGGTGGGCAGGGGCAAGCTGAGGACAATGTCATCTTGTCCTCCAGAAACAATTGATGGCCCATACTATAGGGCAACCTGACAGTGCAGATAAGTACTAGTTGTCTGCTGTTAACAGTTCAACACATCTAGGTTTTAAATATCTATTCATAGTTGAATGGCCTTGTGGGCTACCTATGTCACTCTTCCCCATAAAGAGAATCCACTTGGTTGACTTATTTTATTAACGAAATTCTTCACTTTTTTTGAATCACCTCTTGAGCAAAAATTCCAGTGCTATCTAAATCAGAGGCTACAATCTGCTGGTGCATATATTGAGATTGTATTTCTTTATGATATTTATGCTGTGTGAAATGGCCTCCCCTTTCCCCTACTCCCCCAATTTTAGCACCTTAATGAAAATCTGGCAAGGTTGACAGCCAAATTTGAGAAGGCCACGGTGGAGAAGCTGAAATGTCAGCAAGATGCAGAAGCCACTGAACATACCATCTCCCTTGCAAATCGCCTGGTGAGTATCATTGGCTGAAGCCTCCGGTGGGGTAGAAAGATTCTTGAAGTATGTCTTTTTTGGTCTGAATGGCTGGAAATAAAACTAGAAGTGTTTGCAAGTCTGGAAAGTTTTAGGACTCCAAGTCTACATTAAGGATAAATATTTCTAAATTAAATCTACATGAGGGAGTAGTTTGGACTTCTACACTGTATGGTTTTTTGTGGGTAATTTGTCATTCTTTAGTACTGGCAAAGAGAAAATTAAAGAACTGCTAGGTTTTCCTACTTTTCCAATGAATTGGCATGCAGCAGAGCAGGAAAAAGATGATAAGGATCTAATCCATGAGAGTACATAAAAGCTTCAGCACTAATTATTTAAAGTGCATTAAAGATAGTGGAAATGCATTTAGTAGGAACGTAACAGTACTTCAGTGATGGCACATGCATCATATAGGAGCAATGGACAGATCTTCCTTGAAAATGATCACAAATATACAACCCTGCCTAACCTTCAAAGTGAGATGCAATAATTTCAATAGATACTTTTCTCATATTTAATCATTTATACAAATGTATGGCTAATTTTGTGATGCTTTTTAACAGCATGATAATCATGCATCAGCTCCAGCTGGCATGACAGGAAGGTTTTAATTTTTATTTGTAATGAGCATACAAGATTTTAAAAACCACTGTTCCCATATAATTTTGCAATAAGTCTCTTTCAGGTGTACAGTGCTATAACCTTGTATTATGCAAAAGATCAGACTTGCCTGATTAAGCAACAGCAAACAGCTTAAACTGTTGCCATTGGATTGGCAGTTTTTTTCTGGCCTTCTGGTGATTTTCAATTTCTACTACTATAACCCTCAAACTACTGGCAATGCAGGGTCCTCTAAATTTACTAAACAACTATAATTGAGGCTAGGATCACAATTCATAGCTACAAGGGCATATAAAAACTACTGCTGCAATCTACCAATTCTTTCCAGTCTGAACTTAAGGACTGCTTTTTAATGAAATGAAGCCAGTATAACTGCAAAAGCAATGGTTTAAGTGTTCTGTGAATTTCACTGTATGAGATTTAAGAGTATTCTACTTTATTTCCCTCATTATTTTTGAAATACTTCAAGATGCTTGAAGATATTCTAGTAAAATGTGTTATTAATGCAATGGAATTTACCCGCCACTAAAGCTCAGATTGGCTTTTTGCCATAAAGATGTCATGGCGAATTTAAGCTAGGTACATCCGTTCACAGTTTTCCTAATTAAATGTTGAACACAAAATGTCATATATTTGAATAGTACACTGTGAATAATTAACACAAGCACCAAGTATGAGATCTCCCCGATCATGACTTTCAGTACAAATCTTAGGTCATTGTGCATTTTTGCCAATAAACAAAGGCTAATGATTTTCACATTTGTGTTTATATTTATTTAGAGAGGAATGAGAGTTTAGGCTGCAACTCTTGCAGAAGAGGTCAGTCACAGAAGAGCTAATTAAAATTTGAAATTAGGAAAAAAGCAATAAGAATTAATTAGCATGGAAGGTGAACATGATTAAGATGAAGCTGTTAAAATTCAATTTTTCATTTTGTGGTCTGGTTGTAGACCCTTTTTTCTGTTTTGGACTTTATATATCATGTATCACTCTTTGTCCAGTCTGGCATGGAAACATGATTGATGCCCTTTTCCATTAATTTTGTCAAAATGACAGGGCACTTAGGTAGGGACAACCAGATGCCTTGGTCCACAATAAGTGGTACCAGACTTGGCAGTAGTACTTGTGAAAAGAATTTATTTAATCAGTTTATATTCTGCTCACCTCACTACCCAGAGTGACACTGGGTGGCTTACAGTACAATGCAACAAAAATAGAAATATAAAGACAACTATAAATATAGAAACACATAAAATTACAGGATGTCTGTGATTTGGGTATGCTGATAGACCAGAATTAAGCATAAGCACAGTGTGCTACAGCTGTGTCTTTCTGTTAAATATAAACATGGACAATTTTGAACATTATTCTGTTCATCTTAATATATTTCTGATGAAATATGTACATGTTAGTAAATGCTTATCTCTTTGGTTCAGAACTGGCATTTGAAGTCCCTTGGTTATTTGTCCATTTGGTTATCTGTTTGTAAGAAGACTCATACTTTACAACTGGTTAGGGGAACAAAGATCAACTTTGCATTTTGATACCCTAAATTGATATTTAGGGATAGCCATTCTAACTATATGCATATGAAGGTGAGGTACAGTCTGCTTTCTTTGGGTCAGTTCACTTCCTAGAGAGAAAGAATTTTACTGGTCCAACTATACCTGTTACTCAGTCATTGCTATGGATAAAGACATGCCACCTTTTTTTCCATTGAGAGTTAGGAAGAGAAAAAGCTTCGATATTACTTCTTCCTTTTGAGTTGTAAATGTTCTATGCTAACAGCTATGATTTTTATTGAACTCAAGTCCAGCCTAAAAAAAAGAAAAGTGTTTTCCAAGAGACAAAGGTACAGGAATTAAAATATACTATGTTCCTAAATTGCTTGACTCATCCCCTTTTATAACAGTGTGAAATAGATTCCCTAAGGGAGATTCAAAGAGTTCCAGTGGAGATGCAAGCTGTTTCCATAGCTTTCTAGCAAGTGTCTTGGCTATTTAAGGGGATACATATATTCTAAAATTGCTGCTTTAGTGTTGATTAGGAATAGAAGATTATTGAAACAAAAAACTATCTCCCCTCTTCTTAAGCAATATTTGTTTCTCTACTCTTTCCACAATGATTCTTATGGTAGAAATTCCATGACATGTCAGACATGGAATCTGGTGAAGTCTAATTTCCTGGTTTTTGTTTTTTTTAGGTTGGGGGCCTGGCCTCTGAAAATGTGAGATGGGCTGATTCAGTAAGAGATTTCAAACTGCAAGAAAATGCATTGTGTGGTGATGTCTTGTTGATTACTGCCTTTGTCTCCTACTTGGGTTATTTCAGCAAGAAATATAGACAAGACCTGATGGACCATGCATGGAAACCATACTTAAAGCAACTAAAAGTGAGCAGAAGGCAAATGTTATACATTATTTTCACATGACTCTCTTTTGAAAATGCCTTAGTTGCTGCTGTTGGCCAAGATGGTATGGAAATACTTCTTTAATTGCCAAAACTTGTTTTGAATTAATAATTAGGGAGACTTTCCTTTTTACATAGGTTGTTTTCTGTGGGAATGAAGGGTCTTTCCTCATCTTCCCCCCCCCCCTCTTTCTGGCTTCTATCCTTCATATTGTGACTTGATGCCAAAAGTAATATGTTGTTGCCATGGTGGGATTCAAATAATTTAACAACCAGTTCACCCAGATTCAGGTTGGCTGTTGTGGGAGGCATGGTCCATCCCCATCCTCCAGCTCCACCACACATATGGAACGGGCCTCACATGATGGCCAACCTGACTCTGGGTTAACTGTTTGTTAAATTACCCCTCCTGCTATCAAAGTGCATCCTAGGTGCTGTGCTACAATGGAGAAATGGGAAACAGAGCAGCCAGCACACGGGAAGGAGGAGGAGCAGGGAGAAGAAGCAGGGAAAGCGACCTTCTCCTTCCCTTGCGCTGGCCGCTCCGTTGCCCATTTCTCCATTGCAGTGCAGCACAGTGCCCAGGATCCATTTTGATAGTGGGGTGGTGAGGGTAATTTAACAACCGGTTTGCCCGAACTGATGTGAACCAGCTGAATCCCACCACTGGCTGTTGCTCTTTGGGGGAAGACATGATGAACTGAAGATAGCTCTGCTAAAAGTGGACAAAAATAGCAGAATGAAATGATGGCAAGTATATTGGCTCTTTGCAGTTACTTTCTAGGTAAGGAGAGGAATTGAGATAGTCCACAAGTACTTCATACAGTTGTTCCTCATCAGAAGACTGGCAGGTTTAGGAAAGATCTAAAAATTACAATTAGAACAGAAACATTGAAAATTAACATTAATACAGAGTGAAGCAAAATATTTTAATATTGGACATATTAAAGGATTTGTAATTAATGGACTCATAAGTTAATTTTCATAGTGTCTATTAAGTCAATTGCCTTAATAGAGAGACTCTATTTAAAATATGTTACGAAAGAAGAACAAGTTTTACCTGACAATATTGCGACTGATCTGAAAGTACTTTTAAAACTAACAGGCTATAAGAATAATATGGAGAAAGCACCTATGCTGGACATGTAAAAGAAACTGACTGATCTTTTAATAATTAAAGGGAATATAGAAATAACAAACCAAAAATGTGAACTGGATAATTTTTCGATACTGGATGTAAAAAAATAGGCTTGTTAAAGCTTTATAGAATTTTATGAGAAGGGACAAATAAAAATTGAAAAAATCAAGTTCTAGGACATTATTTGAAGGGGAAAAAGCTCAAGGTTATTAAAAATAAAAGGAAGGAATATAAAGTTGGTTTATTTGGCCAAGGTTGAAATTGATATACTGTTATCTCTGGTAATCCTGATTATGCTGCCCAGAGTTATCTTGTGGTAAGATGGGTGGCCAATAAATTTTACAAACCAACCAACCAACCTTAACATACTTTTGCTGATCAGAACTGAAATGATGAAGTTTTAAGGGTTATGGGAAGAAGAGATCATTTGTTGTATTTAAGAGAAGATAAGATAAATTGTTTATACTTGTGATGAAGGGAGAAAACATTTCTTTAGCTATTTCTTTTTTCTTTACCATATTTTTCTTTCTATTATTTTCTTTCCTGCCCCTTCTATTTTTTATTCTTTAATGTTTTAGTATATATTAGGTTGTACCTTTGCAATTGTAATTTTTAATAAAATTACTATTTTAATATCTTGTTATTGCAATGTGAAATCACATATTGATTGAAAAGATATGAAAGAACTTTAATGACTCTAGTCCCTAATATTCTAGCAGTGCTTGATTGGCTTCAATGTGGGCTGGCATGTAGGACTTGCATCTTCTCAGAACTGTGAATATTGCCTTGCAGCAGAACAGCAGATGTGTGAATGTGTTAATTACATTCTTCTAAAGAACAACTTGTAATGATAATCATATATTTCTTTACCAAGTTGTCAGATTTGTCTGCTCCAGGCTTCATTCTTTGAGATTTCTGTGTCATTGACTGGTATCCGTGTACATAAAGGCAAAAGAAGAGGGCATTGGTTGCCTCCAGCCCACTAACTTTTGCTATATCTACAAAAAGTTAATATAGCTATATAGTACACACTAACTTTCAGCTCACCTACTGAATATTTTAATCAAAATTGAAAAATACAAAATAACATGGGAATAAGAGAAAGATAGTCTAATTATTTCCCTTTGTAGGCTAATTCCTTTTTAATAACCAAGGGCAAACTGTCAAGCCCTTCCAGGAAGCCATTGCCACTGAATTTCTCCCATTGCTCAAGGAAGAAGCAGTACGTGGACGGAGTCATTCTGTGCTTCTTCCAACCACTGAAAACATACATTCCCTCAGCCCTAAATTGGATCTGATGATGAATCTGAGACCCATAGCTCACGAAAACCAGTGCCTCTTAATAAAATTCTTTAGCTGGAAAAGGTGCTACCAAATTCTTAACTTTTGGACACCATAAAGTAACAGTTTCTCCCTCCTACAATGTCAGATCTCAAAGCTGGCTAATGCATTGTAAATATATATTATTGATGCCAAAATCTGGAAATAAAGAGTGCAATTAGAACTCTATGCACAAGGACAGGTAACATAAGACTGCTGGTACATAAATTGACTATTTGACCATATTGTTGTAGTTATCTATTAAGAGCAAGGAACAGTGTTATCTATGTTGTTGGTATGACAATATGAGGGACTTATGTTACTCCAGCTATTTCAGAGTCCTTCCACTTTCAAAAGGAGAAGCATGAGTATTTCTTGATGGGAGAAGCCACGGCAAGAAAACTTCTACCTTATTCTGTTTCGCTGGAATAATAAGAAAAAGAAACTTATTGTTCTTAGATAAAAGTCACTAAATAATGCTTTCTTGAACATTGTTACCTTCAGTGTCTTGGATGACAGTTTACATTATGACCAGATCACATGTGCTTTTTTGTGCATAGTTGAAATGCAGAGTCATTATCTTTTGGCTGTAGGTGATAATGTTTTGATTGTCCCAGGTTGCAATTCCTGTCACTCCCTCTTTGGACCCTCTGAAGATGCTCACTGATGATGCTGACATAGCAGCTTGGCAAAATGAAGGTCTACCAGCTGATCGCATGTCTGTTGAAAATGCTACCATTCTCACCAACTGTGAGCGATGGCCACTCATGGTTGACCCCCAGCTGCAGGGCATCAAGTGGATAAAAACCAAGTATGGAGAAGACCTCAGAGTGACTCGGATTGGCCAGAAGGGGTGAGCAGGCATGATTAAACAAAACGGCAGGAAAATAATGGATTTGTTCAATAGTAGCCTCATAACTTGGTATCACGTTTGATGTATGTAGTTCCGATTGTGGGAGCCAACTATATTTTAAGAAAAAGCTCTCCATCATGATGCTATATCAAACTTTTGGGCATTAACGTGCTTTGTTTACTCTAAAAATGACAGAAATTTCTTATCAAATGGGGAGGAACTTTGTAGAACTTGTCATGGTTGCTATAGAAACTTGAAACTGAATGTAGAATGAGAAGAAGGTACCGGCACGCTGTACGTCAGAGTGCCAGTGATTTAATCTCTGTTCTATTCTTTCTGTAATTCAGATAAAGAAATAGAGGGATCCAGGCCTCTGAGAGACAAGGGTCTTCCAGACCTTTGTGAGTTCTCAAAAGGAAGCTTATTAGTGTGAGGGTAGAAGTAATGCATTGGTCCCCTGCTTAGAAGATTGCCTAACAAATTATCTTTGAGAAGATTTAAAAAGAATTCAAAGAGAGCAAATTCTGGCTGTTTTTATCTCCTGTTTTATCTGTCCTAATGAAGAGGACCTAATGTCCTAATGAAGAGGCCTTAGATGCATTGTCACAGATTTTAAAAATGCTGAAATCCAGACATTTTTACAGTTCTTAATTTTTATTTAACCAGTGCTAATAATTTTGCTTATAGGTTTTGTTGCTGTGAGTTTAGCTGGCTATTAGATACATCTGTGTCAGCCTGGAAAAGTATTTTTGCCCTGTATCTCTCATGATTTATGGATATCCCCATCTTTCAGACAGTGGGTGTTGTTATATCTTATAAAAGAAACTCAAGATTAATGCTGTTCTTTTAACGGATAGGGTAAGCTAGGCAATGCTGTGATAGGATAGATTTTATTAAGGTAGTCACTGATTGAAATAAGTTATAGTAGCCAAACTCAACTCAAAAAAACAAAGAAAGAGTTAAAACATTTACTGCAATTTGTATGCTTTGTAAATCTGAAGAAAGCTCTAAGCACCTTCCAAAAGAATACAAACTTCAAAGCAAAATCAGGAATAGAACAAATATATGACTACAACATTGTGTAAAATCAAAAACAACACAACTGTTTCCCAAGAGTAATACAGCAAATGTATTAATTAATGTACTGTTTATTACACTTGTATACTACCCAATTCCCAGTGACTCTAGGCAGCTAATAAAGTTAAAATAGAGCAAAATAGCAATAATATAATACTACAATAAAGACAAACAAAACATGGCATAACTAGGCAACAGTGAGAGACTCACCCATACTACTCAGAAGGGACTTCAACCACCTTAGCCTTGGCAAAGAACCAGATGTCCAAGGTTCTTTAAAACACTAGCAGGGCTGGCCACCGTCCAGATCACCATCCAGATCTTTCATTCCAAGGGACAGGCATTGCAACTGAGTTTTGTGGGTCCCAACAGATGGCACATCGAAGGAACCTGGAATATGCCAATCCTGCAGGATCAAATTGGCTAGAAAGATATTGCTGAAGATAGATAGTGACTCAAGTAACCAGGCCCTAAGCACAATTACTACTGCTTAGACTTTGCCAGAGAGGGTAATCAGAATGATTCTGTTTTTCAGTTTAGCATATAGTAGAATGAAGTTGTATCTAACATGAGGAAGTATATATGCACACAAACCAATAAAATGTTTAGATTAAATAAAGTGTCTATTGGCATAACCAACCATTCAGAGATGAAACATGCATCTGGGCATCAAATATGAATATGCCCTATGTTAGATCTTCAATGTTGCTCATTCAGGACAAAGGATTACCACCACAAAGGGGAAAATGCTTAATTCAAATAACCAATGTAGTTTTTAAACAAGTTAAGGAATATATACTACACAATCTACAAAAATAAAAGCTCCCAGTAGGAAGATGAAGTTATAAAAATTAACTAGTCAACTCACATATTTTTTTTATTAAATGCCTTCAAGTAAATCATTCCACTGTTTAAAAATTGTTCAGTATATTGCCAGATTTGATTTAATAAAGAGGTACTTAGGGGTAAGGAATAAAATTGGAATCCAGTAGTTACCATTTGAGAGGGAATTGTTAAGTCAGCATAGATCACATTGCAAGGTCATCAAGAGGATGTTGACTTGAAAAGGCAGGAGAAAAAAAAATCTAGAACTTAAATCTTGGAATGTAGGCTTGTTTCTGTTTCTGTAGGGAGCCAGTTTTCTGAATGTGTATGGCTTCTTCCTAGTCAGTAACAAAAAGATAAATTTAGTCGGTTGTGCCTGGGAGCCTTCTGTCTTCTGAACAAGGGATTAAGATTGGAAGATTTATAGCCAAACTTGGTATAAAGCCTGAATTTTAGTGGTTCATAATGATTAAAAGTCATAGTTGAAGAGCCGTACCCAAATTCTCTCTCCTGGCTGAAATAGTTATTTATCTACAGCCATTGGTGAACTTTTTAAAACATAACATTAGTATTCTTTCTTCAGTCTCCTTGCCTAATTTAAACAGTTATGCTTCTGTTATTTATAACTATATATCCAGGCTATCAGGGTTCAGGGAAACTCAATTTGCTGTTTGGAGGGAGAGGGAGACCATACATTAATAGGGTAAAGCTATTTTATGTAACCTAGCATTTTCCAGGAGTACTGAAACTAGAGGTGGTATTCAGCAGGTTCTGACCAGTTCTGGAGAACTGGTAGTGGAAATTTTGAGTAGTTCGGAGAATCGGCAAATACCACCTCTGACTGGAGATTTTACAGTCTCCTTCCCCTGCCACACTCACCATGTCACACCCCCAGAACATGTAGTAAATATTTTTGAATCCCACCACTGACTGAAACTATTATCCCCAGTATTCCCAGTCATCATGGAATCCCAGAACATCTGGAACTCACCAGAGGCTCTTGTTATAGAAACCTGGATTTTTATGTTCTTAAAAAAGATAGTGCATGGAAAAAACTGAGGCACCTCTCTATTTAAAAAAAGCCTTTGGTTCCAGTTACTTTCTAAGTCTCTTGAATTTTGCAAAACCCAATTTTTTGAGGAACTGAAATACTGTTCTATCTGGCAATCCACTTTCCTTAAGTAAGAATATAACAATAAATACCTAGAGCAGGTCAATGGTCTGCCTCATTCATGATCACCAACTCTTCCCCATCTATACCTTTAGTAATGATTTCATCCTTCTCTTTACTCTGGGAGTTTCTCAAGGTTTTCCTTAATGTGTATCATCCTGATGCCGTATTTCTTAGGTATCTGGACATTGTGGAACAAGCTCTTGCTGCTGGAGAAGTTGTTCTGATTGAGAATTTGGAAGAATCCGTTGATCCAGTGTTAGGTCCATTGCTGGGTCGAGAGACAATAAAAAAAGGAAGGTGAGATGATAGTGAATGACCGGGTTCTATAGCCATCATCCTCTGAAAGATGCGTATGACATCTGTTATCCTCCCTACCCCAAGGCCTAAGATAACAGTATCAGGGTTCAAAAACTTTTCTGAAGCCCTCAAATTTGCAAAACTATTTTGCACAGCCAGTGTAATGGATAGATTTAATATTTATCGATTCGATTTATATCTTACCTTTCAATCGGGAACTCAAACTGGTGTTCATAACCTTCCTTTCTCCTCATTTTTCTTGTAAATAGTTTGGGCTAACAGACAGTGGTTGGCCCAAACTCTCCCAGTGAGCTCCTGTAGTCCAATACCTTAACCCAGTATGGCACACTGATGGATTTGATTTAACTTAATTGGCATAAATTACAGGAGCTGCTACATAGTGCATTTTGTTCCTTTCCTAAAGGACAAGGAGGGTATTGCAATGGTAAATGTGTCCTCCAAATAAGTTGGACTTCAAAAGCCAGCAGGACCTTTGGTGATTATGGGAATCAGTCTACTATATGTGGAGGACTAAAATCAGGGAAAGCTGGTTTAGAATGATCGATTCCACCTCTGGAATCTTACTAATCATCTTATCATGGCATATGGATAAGGCAGGCATGAATAATCATGCTTGATCTTCTTTCAGGTTCATTAAAATTGGAGATAAAGAATGTGAGTACAACCCCAGCTTCCGACTGATCCTTCATACAAAACTAGCCAATCCCCATTACCAGCCAGAAATGCAAGCACAGTGCACCCTCATCAACTTTACTGTGACTCGGGATGGCCTAGAAGACCAGCTGCTGGCAGCAGTTGTGAGCATGGAGAGGCCTGACCTGGAAGAATTAAAGGTAACTAACAGAATCCAGGATGAACTGAATTAATCTCCTTTTGATCTTTCCAGCATTACATATTTTGAACCATTACTTGTATCTATTATCAGAGATAAGAAAAGTTAAAGTAACTATTCCCAAAGTAGTATTTCTGCAGGCCTCAGTCATGAAGCTAGTAGAGTTTAGGATAAACATGTTAAATAGATTTTGTGTCTTGTTATAAAAAGATTTAATGTACATCTGGCCAACTAGAGCCAGCACTTTCAATCTTGGCAATTAACATTAAATAGATTATTAGTGTAGCTTTATCCAAAACTGGAAGCTCCTTCATCTAGTATTGGGACTGTAGCTTTCAAAATTCCTACCACTGGAACTACAGTAATTTCACTTGCCAAATCAGATAAAACTTTTTTTTTGATGGCGGCAACGCCACTTTTTCAATTGGTGACAGCATCATTAATTCTGCTTTTTGGAATGTTTCTATGGCTCAAAGGAGATACACAAAATGGCATAGTTCAGGCATTTTATGGCTTTTCTTTCTACTGATTGTTTTTTTTTTCCTTGACTAAATAAATGTACATATGTTGAATCAATGAACAGCTCAGCAAATGCTATTGCCTAGGTTGTAGTAATGCTGAGAGATGCAGTAGTACATGCATAAAATGTCCTAAACATAAAATGTCCTAAAGTGATTCCTTCAATTAATTCTCAAGCTGTGCATGAAACATTACAAACTAGAGCTGTCCTCTGAGTACTTTAGCAAATTGAGACATGTTTACCAAGATTTTTTGGTTCTACTGAAAATAGTCATCCTTCTTCTTGTAGCTGAACAATATGTTGCTATTGACACATAAGGAGCCCTTGCAAAAAAATTGTGTGTGGCTTGTTATAATATAGTTGCTAAACAGTAGTCTAGAGAAACCTGCTGCCACAGACAACAGCCCCTAGAGAAGAACTCAAGATGGCATAAAATTTTTCCATTCAATGTAGCAAATCATTTCTCTTTCTCTCTCTCCATTCTCTGGCTTCTCAGGGAATATTGTGTCAGCTAAAAAATAATTAATCATAAGGTCCATTTTGTCTCGACACTAAGAAAAGTCAAAATCTTCAGTCACAATTATATTATTTGCATATTTTAAAAATTAGAAACCTTGTACAAGCTGGTAAAATTAGCCTTAAAAACCCAATGCTGAGAGTATATTCATTAGAGCAACTTGGTGAGTGAGCAACCATATAAATGGATCAAAGAAAGAAAGAAAGTTGGATAAACAAATAGGGAAATTCTGTAATTAGTGCTTACAGTGTTTGAAGTTCATATTAAACTGTGTGACTTATGGACAACTGTCTTCAAATTCACAGTAATAGAGAAATCAGGAGGAATTACTATATGTTTGTGAGATGAAAAAGGACAGTGAAGGTAGTCTTAGAGTTATGACCATAGTTGAGCCCAAAATTTATGTTGCTAAGTGAAACATTTGTTAAATGAGTCATTGCATTTATTAAGTTTGATAACAGAGTTAAGTGAATCTGGATTCCCCATTGACTTTGCTTGTCAAAAGGTCACAAAAGCTGATCACATGACTTTGGGACATTGCAACTGTCATAAGTATGAGTCAGTTGCCAAACGTCTGAATTTTGATCAGGTGACCATGGGAAAATTGCAATGGTCATAAGTGTGAAAAAGCAGTCCTGCAAATTCAAAATGTCAGTAACGGCACACCAAACTCTGCCAATTCAGCATTTGTTCCTGACAAATGTCCCTCCCCACAGCATCTCCTTAAATCTCAGTCCTCAGGTGTGCCTTGTGAAAAGGGGTGGGGCACTCGCCTCCTGAGTCATCGGGTTGGCCTGCACTGTTCCCGCCTTCTCTCCACTCTTTTTGCTCAGGGATCAGGAGGGGACGGTCCTTGCTCATTGCCTGAGTTCTGTCGCTCCTCATGTCCACTGCTTGCCCTCTCTTGGTCATCCTGCCCCTGTTCCTCCCTGCTAACAAGCTGTCTCAATCCTGAGGGGCCCTGAGCTGCCTCGTCCTGCTCCTCTCCACATTCCTCCAAAGCCAACAAAGCTGCCCCCTCGATCTCCATCAAGTCTACCTCCAGCTCGTCCTCCTCTTCAGATTCAGGCTCTGACAGGAGCATGACAAAACCCATATCTTGCTAGATGCACAGAAGGAAGTCCATGTTTTGGGAAGTGGGAGGGGTTTAAAATTTAATCAGGCTTCCTAATATAGAGCACAGAAAAACAAATTTCCTGCTAAATGATTTGCCAACCATCTGCTGATCTGTCCTAGAGACTGAAGATGCAGGATGGAGAGTTCACAATAATGAATAAGGAGTTTGGAAAGAAATGGATCATTAATGGAAATGAAAGAATCTGCCTGTACAGTTGGAAAAGCATAACAAATTAAGGATTTAGGTGTCTTAATTTTAGCAGCACAACAGGACTTTGGGTTATTGTTATTCTTATTGCTCTCAACTTTATTTCAGAGAATTGGTATTGCTGTGGAGAAAGTTGGAAAAGATTGAGTTTACCATATTGTTCTTTTGTACTGCAGAAAGTAACGTTCTGAAGTTATATATTAAATTTCTTATCCCATATATCTTACCCCAACCTGGCTATGCAAAGAAAACCAAATTGGGCTAAGCAATTGCGAAAAAAATCATTAAATCTATTGAAGAAGCAATGCTTTTCAGTTAAATTAATTACTTCTTTGAAGTAAGAAAAAGAATAGCTTTATAGTTTTGTTTTGTCTTTTTCCCCCCAAATAGATCTATAGTTAGCCTATGGCCTAAGAAAAAAAGTTATTAATTACTTCATCATAGTAGCTTTTATAAGAAAAGTTCTTTTTAATTAAACAACATTTTCAAAAACTAGGAAAGAAGGAAACATTTGTGTTTTAAACAAATCCCAGCCTCGCCAAGCCTGTTTCCACATTTCCCATATCCAAGACTTTTCCCTTCCCATCTGTAATGTCAGAATAGCAATCCTGACTAGTAAATTAGAGTTTAGGTAAGAATGGCAAACTTGCACTTGAAGTGGAGGAGCAGCAAGAGGAAGAGGGAAATTCAGAACATATGTTCATGGAGATGTTTGACAGTTGCAGACTCCATCAAATTTTTATTCCTAATCTCTTTCTTCTGGAGCTCTTGCTGAAAAGACATTGCAGTGAGAGGGACCTCCTCCATCCCCAAAAGCACCTGGGTGGGGGACACAGAGGAGCAAACAAACCAAGTTATCCTTTGAGTGAAATGCTGTGATAGAAACAAATGGGGTTTAGATTCAGTGATTGTTGGCCTCTTCTCAAAACAGAGTGATCATTATGAGCAAACTACTGTTAATTATATCAATCACATTTTCTTGCAACAGAAACTGAATTGAATTGAATACTTTATATGGCAAAGTGTGATTTGACACACAAGGAATTCATGACCGACACAGAAGCTCTCAGTGTACATGCAAAGTAACAGAATCACCATCATCAATCATCATCCCAATAAGAGGGAAAGGACTAAAGGAGATAATAAGAAGGATAAATAATAATATTATAGCCATACTACATGGGTAGCATGTACACATTGACATTAGACTGATTAGAAATATTTTGAATTCAGAAAGATCTGTGGTCTTTCAATTTGTATCATCTCCAGTGCTACTCAGTCTATGACATTTATTTGGGACCTAGAAAATCCCTGTAGATTCTGGAAAATTTGAGCATAAGATTCTAGTTTAAGCTGAAACACTATACCTTTTATCCACTTTCATTCAGCTGAATGTGTTAATGGTGTAGTGGCCTCTCTCTGAACACAATGACTAAATATCAGCTGCAAACTCTGCATTGGCAACAGGAAGAGCATCTGGCCAGGAAACACTCAGCTCATTCTGTTGCCCCAACTCTATCCTGATGCAAGAGATTACAGGGTCATAAAAAAATAAAAATAAATATCAACTGAATGTATTATGTCTGTTTTGTGGGTTTTATTCCTAATATCTCTTTCTGGAATTCTTGCCAGATCTAGGCATCAAACTGGATGGCATTGTCTCTGGAACAATCACCCTAATACAGATTTTTGGAAGTCTGGGCTGGGCCCTTGAATGAAAATGAAGGGTATCTGCAGTCCTTAATTTTAACTGTAGTACACTGTATGCTGCATAAATATTCCCCAATACATCATCTATTTAAATTTGGAGGGGTGTGCCATGTCGCATTTCATTTCCCCAAAGAGGGAGTTTCCAGCATACGATGGTTTAACAGAGGGATCTCCAAACTTGACAACTTTATGACTTGTGGACCTCAACTCCCAGAATTCCCCAGTCAGCATCATGGCTGGCTGAGGAATTCTGGGAATTGAAGTCCACAATTGTTAAAGTTGCCAAGTTTGGAGATCCCTGATTTTTGATTTGCTTTGATTTGCTTTGAAAATGATATAATATACTATATATATTACATATCTCAACTTTTTACAGTCTGATCTCACAAAGCAGCAGAATGGTTACAAAATTACCTTGAAAACTTTGGAGGACAACTTGCTGTCCCGTCTCTCGTCTGCCTCAGGGAACTTTTTAGCAGATACTGCCTTGGTGGAGAATTTGGAAGTCACTAAACAAACAGCTGCGGAAATTGAAGATAAGGTAAAATTGCTAAATTGAGTCTGGTGTGTGACTGGGAACAAAAATCTATGTTAAGAGACACTGAGTGAATGTGAATTGTTTAAATGTTGATATTTATTGATAGCCAGTTTTGTTTAGTGGTTAAGGCATCAAGCTAGAAACCAGGAATCCATGAGTTCCAGACCTGCCTTAGGAACAAAGTCAGCAGGGAGACCTTGGCCAGTCACTTTCTCTCAGCCCTAAGAAGAGAGCAATGGTAAACCACTTCTGAAAACCTTACCAAAAAAACCCTGCAGGAACTTTTTCAGGCAGTCTCTGAGAATCAGACATGATTGAGCATAAGAAAAAAAACACTTACTAGTGACTGTTGATAAATATAATATATAAGGTAGATTTTTTTTTCTTATTCTCTCATTTTTAGTTTGTTTAGTTTTTTTTATTAATCTTTTTTTATTTCAATTTTTCCTTCAAATATTGTTTTGTTAATTGCGTATGTGTTTGTGTTGGTATATTTAGGTATTTTGTCAATTTTCTGGAAATTTGTAAATAAAATTTAAAAGTAAATACATTAGTTAAATGCATCTTGTTTGTTCTGCATCTTGGAGACTAGAAATCACGATAAAACCACATTCTGGCAAGATTTACTGAGCATTTTTGTTTTAGTTCAGATGCCTTTAATGAGCAATTTAAGAGAAATAGTAGCACTGGATGCAAAGACCATACAACTACAGAATTCTAACAAGATGTTTTAAAGCATTTAAGTTTAATTCCAAAGTGTTTTACTTGAGTTAATTCACACGCATTACATTTACTGAATTAAATTAGGAATCAAGTGGAGGCTATACAGTGTGGCAGAATCTGCTGAAGTTTCCACAGTCTGTATTAAATTAGCTGGAATTCAGCATCTTGGCTGCTCCCTGAGTGAAAATTTGGCTTTGAAAATTATCTATTCAATGCTCATCTGACGTAGATGCTTTGCTTTGCAAATAACTGATGACATCTTTCACCTGTACCACACTGAAGAGCCATGGGAATGGGCACTGCCAAGTTTGCCCTTCAGCACAAATGAGAGATGTTTCTGAACTATTTGTGCAGAGGGTACTTTTAAGCTTTGGTAGCTGACACCCAGACATCCTTGCTGATAAAGTTACGTAACACCTCCATTTTAAGACATGCGAAAATTTAATGTGGGCATAGTAATGACCTTGGAAAGAGAAGAGAATCTGATGGAAGTTAATTTGATAATTAATTTACAGATGAAGCGATGGTTGAATGTATGTTGTGCTCTCAAATTGCAAATGGAGACGTGGGTACTCTATTTTTCTTATCTTCATTTTTAAGTGCTTTGGTTTTATTGTATTGCGAACAGTTGCTGGGATGCATCCACAGTTTCGTTGTGCTTGTACAATGACAATAAAGCTCTTCTAATTCTAATTCTATCTGGAAATGCTGGGATTTGACACATTAGAAGCAGGCAGGAGAGGAGATATATGTCATGTGCTGCATCTGCACAAATTTATCTAAAACCATGCCATCTCCATGCAAACAAAGAAAATCTGTAGCTACAGTAGGTGTGGCTATCTTGCTTCTTCATAGTTTTATTGTTACTTCCTTTCAGGTCCAGGAGTCCAAGATAACAGAAACCAAGATTAATGAGGCAAGGGAACATTACCGTCCGGCAGCAGCTCGTGCTTCCCTGCTGTATTTCATCATGAATGACCTCAACACCATCAATCCCATGTACCAATTTTCCCTAAAGGTACTATAGTTTCATCTACAGTAAGAGTTCGCTTTCCCCCCTTCTCTCTCTTTTCCATTCCAAATCTTCTCTAAATTTTAAAGACAGATAAGAAGTCTAGTGAGTCTAAAGAGACCCACTAGTTTACTTTACTTTACTTTATTGTCATTGCACTTCATACAACGAAATTAAATACCATCTTCAGTGTACATTATGACTATGAAAATAAACATACATCCTTCACATTCTATACATTGAATTGAAACCCCTGATATTGCATTAATATTGCACTATACAATAGAATTCAATAGAGTTACTGCCCTGGGATAGAAGCTGTTTTTCAGCCTATTTGTTCCTGTTTTTATTATCCTGTACCATCTGCCAGATGGTAACAGTTCAAAAAAAGGGTGTCCAAAATGAGATGGATCTTTGAGAATATTTTGAATTTTCTAGCAGGAAGGGCCTGGCAATCTTTCCAGTACTTTAAACATTATTGTATATAGTAATCTCAGGTGAAAATGTCACTAAACTTTGGTAATTCAAAACAGCCAAAATTTCACTGAGTCTGGAAAGATTTCAACATTCATTGTGAAATCTTGTTTTTCTCCCGCAAAATTTCAGCAATTATTTTTTTAAAATATTTTTGTGCTTTGCAGACGTTCTGATTGACTCATAATTATTCATGTCAGCCACAAGGGCCTATTTACTCCCCGCACACTCTCCCTTAATTAGCTTCATTAACGAACTAATGCAAAATATATCAATAGATTGAGATTGTATTTTTTAATGTCCTAGGTCTTAAGTTTTCAGGATATTTAAGGATATTCAGAGCTGTGAATTATGTCATCTTTAATCGGTTCTTTTTGGGCATTATAAAAATGTATGACAGAAAGGTTCCTGGCCTTTGTTTGTGCCATTCTTTATGTTTTTATAATATTCAGACACTGAATGCGGCAGATTAAATAGTTTGAACTTTTGTAGAAATCTGCTGAATTTCACTTTATAGAAGACTAGAGAAACAAATGTTATTGCATTAAGTTTCCACCAGAGATTTAAATAGTTCTTTACAATTTGCAATAGCTCAAGTTACAGAAAACTCTAAGAACATTCTGTGGAAAAAAAACACCTTCTCCTATGACAATATTGCATGCCTAAACAAAATATTACTAGAAACTATTTTTTTGCTGAGACTTTCATTCCTATGAAACAACATTCTTTAAGGGTTAATATGGCATGCATTTAACTTAAGAGCAAGATATATGTAGCAATTTAGAATTCAGTCCAAATTCCTTTCCATCCATAATTGCTCTATTATATATTCCATTTGATGGCAACTGATGACTTTTGTGTATGGTTTTTATTTTGCTCAGAGTCGTCCCCCCCCCCCCCCCCGCCAATTGTTTGCTTTTCTGGTTTTGAATATTTCAGCTATCACAGAAAGTATGTAAGGATACTTTACATGAAAACACGGTTTTTTAAAATTGAGCTTTGTTTTCTCTTGAGGAAATATAATGCAAGGTAATCGCCTATTATTGATCATTTTAGGGAAAAAATTCTGTTGCTTGAGGAAAGTAGACATTTTGTGAGTTATTTTTGTGCGTGTGTGTTTGTGTGGAGATTTTCTCTAATTCTTAGTTTTTATAATATGATTTCCATCCCTCAATAGGCAGAAACAATATCGAAATGAAATTTGTGCCTCTGTTCCCAATCCCTATCTTGCCTCTGTTTCTTCTGATCCAAAACACTCCCAAATGGGTACTATCCTGATTTTTGCATGTGCCATCTGTGATAGACTGTTTTTTTTCCTTCTGGCTTTATTGGCCTGCTTCTTCACTAGAAGAAAAGCACCCACTAATCTCAAAAGTGCAGCAGAAATGGAGTAAACTTGCACTGTTTTACTGAGCTGGATATGCAAAGAAACTGGCTGAAGCTTTAAAAACTAAAAGGGAAATATGAATGATAAACCAAGACTATGACCTGGAAAATGTTTTTATTGAATCTACAAAAGAAGCTTGTTAAATCCTTGAGGAAATATGTGCAATGGGATAAAAAAGAATTGAAGAGTAATTAAATCCTTTTCATCCATCTATTCATCCATCCATTCATCTTGTATGCTGTTCATCCTGCTAGAGATGACACTAGGCAGCTTACAGGCATTCAAATAAAATGCACTATGAAACATTAGAACAATAAGTAAGAATCATAAATTTAAAATTAAATTAAAACTAATCAGGATGGAAATGAAGGAAATGAAGTAGACTCAGGAAGGTGGGGTGTAATCTATTCTATTAGCCACCTCCAAAATACCATACCCAAATTTCAAGGCCTTTTGGAAGGCCAAGAGGGTGAATCTCATCTTGGTGGACATGATATTCTAGTGAGCAGGAACCATGGCAGAAATACTCTTCTTCTGGATCCTGCCAGCTGAAATTTCTTGGCTGATGGGGTTCTTCTGCTGGCCTGGGTAGAGTGAGCTAATCCCATTAGGGCAGAGGTGGGCAACTATGGCCCCTTTATGACTTGTGGACTTCAACTCCCAAAATTCCTGAGCTAGCATGGCTTGCTCAGGAATTCTGGGAGTTGAAGTCCATAATTCATAAAAGGGCCATAGTTGCCCACCCCTTCATTAGGGTGATCTGGTTTCTCAGGTAGCTTGGTCCCTTTTCATGCAGGGCTTTAAAGGTGGTAACCAACCACCTGAATTGCAGCAGGGGGCAAACTGGCAGCCAGTGCAGCTTGCATAACAGCGGTATAACATGAGCCACCCTAGTGCCCCAATCCAGCTGCATTCTGCACCAGCTGAAGCTTCCAGATACTTTTCAAGTATAGCCTCGAGTAGAAGAAATTGCAGTAGTCCAACTGTGGGCTTGAACGTTTGAGTGCAGGGACACCTGATCCAGGAAAGGGTGCATTATTTCTCCCAACTTTTCACTGCAATCTAATCAGTCAAACTTTTCAATTACCTCTTTTTCTAGACATTAACAGGTATTAAATTAGTTAATATTAATTTCTAGATATTAATAAAGTAATAGATCTTGCTTAATCCATTGATCTGCAATAAGTACTGTAGACCTTTTTGTAAGCACATATTCACCATGAGTCACCATGCTCATCCATTTTTAGGCTTTGGAATGGTCTAATAACTTTCTCTATATCCTCTGCTTTCATTTCCACCCATTCAAGCAAGTCACCTAACAGCTTTAGATTTAAATCACCTTTTCAAATTTCCCCTTGGGTCATATTAATCTAAAATGCTGTATAGTTTTCTTGAAAATTCACCCTTCTTCTCTTATCATCATTCATTGGAGCCTAACATGTAACCAGGGCTGGGATTCTACCAGTTCTCACCTGTTCTCTAGAACAGGTTGTTAACATTCTAAGCAGTTCAGAGAACCAGTTGTTAGAAGAAATTACTGGCCTAATCCTATAAGGAAGGCAGGAAGGAAACATACTGGTGTTCCTTACAGAAACTACCTCTCCATTAACCCTTATTACATTCTTGGCAGGACTAGACTTCCTGTCTCAGGAACTTCTCTGGAATTTTTTCCCCCTCCTTTGCTGGTACTTTGCTTGTGTGGAGTGACCATTCAAAGTTACAATGGCACTGTAAAATGACCATTTTCACACTTATGACTGTTGCAGCATCCCCACAGTCATGAGAGGTCAGGCGAGGAGATGCATGCCTTGATGTGAGTGATATTGAGTTGGCCACGCCCAGCCAATAACATGACCACCAAGCCAAGTCCACCCAGTCACATGACCACCAAGCCACACCCACCAATTGAGCCACACCCACAGAACCGGTTGTTAAAAAATTTGAATCCCACCCCTGCATGTAACTATAACTAATTTATAGATTCCTTGTTTTATAAGTATTCACAACAATCTAGGTTACATCAATCCATGTTATCTGATATTAATCTTAGTCTTTTCACTCTAATTAAGCCTCATATTCACTTCCATGCATCTGTGCATCAACTATCCAAGATCAAACCATCAACATTTAAATCTCTTACAGTTTTTGGCATTTTTGTTTTGTTTTATAGTACAAAGATTGTCTTGCTTGCTTGCCTTTTTGCCTTCCTACTTTCTTTTTGTTCTGTTAATTCATACTCTTCATATGTGACTTCATGATTGTCACATACTGTGCCTATAGATGTTGATCTCTGGTGCCCATCATGGCCTCAAACTTTCACTTAACATTTTTTAATAATATAAATAAAGTGCATACTAGGTCACAATCCATTGAGGTACCCTTGTTACAAGAAGCATTGCAGCTAACATTAATAATAGTATTGGCCAGTTCTGGTACATTTTAGCCAGTGTGCCATATATGCAACTACAGCCCAATTTTCATCTCATTTATGTTTATGCTATTCAATGCAAGTTGGACCTCTAATCTTATAATTATCCTGCAAGCCAACTTATTTCTGCCAGCTTTCCACAAACTAATAGCACACACTTAGAATGCTATATATGATGTGCATATATTTTTCAGAAATCTATAGATTGATAATTGGTATGTTTGTTCCAAGCCTAAAAATACCTTTAATATGAAAATTCATGAAACCCATGAAAATAATTTCTGGATGGCTCATAAAGAACAGCAAAGGGTTTTTATAAAACAACAACAACATTAAAATATAACTGTCATAAAGTACAAAAGCTAAATAGCAATGATAAAAGGCCTGAGAAAATAAATATGTTTTGAGAGCTCTCCCAATCTGCAGTAAGGAGTACACCTGGTTTAATTCCAGTGACATATTGCATAAAGTAATCCCTGCCACCAAGAATGACAATTCAGTGCCTGATGCCAAATGTATCCATGGTGAAATCTATAAAAATTGCCCTAATGTTAAGCTTTAGTTATTGACTAAAATCCTGGGATTTGAAAGATATGAAGAGAAGAAAAAAAAGGATGATTTGCTGACAGGTGAAGCTGCAAGGAATTGAAAAAGGAAGAGATACTAAATTATTGTGGGGTACAACATAAGGCTGGCTGAAAAGAAGAATGGAGAGTTGAAAAGAGCAGCCAAGACAACTAAAAACCACAATTCAAGCCCAGCCCAAAACAGAGCTCAGGCACCATAGAAAACATGATATACTGACTAGGAAGGCAATAGCCATGTAAATTAGCTTTGGAGCTCTACTATGCCTGTAAGATGTGTCTGTAAGGGAAATTTCTTACAAAATTTCCTAGTAAGGTGAAAGTAATTCCTTCTCCCCTGCTCCTTTTATTTCTTTAAGTCAGAATTTCAGCTTAGAACTAATTTGAACTAATGAGTCAAATATGCCATGCAGTTGAAGCAGAATGATAGCTTTGGCCCAGCTGCAATGGAGTTTGTCAGGAGTCTACTAACCTGTGAGGGCAGCCCAGTTTTTCTATAATGCGTAACACCATTGCTAATAATAAAAGACAAAGAAGGAGCAGCCCAGTTCTATTTAACCCTGCTTTCCTTAATGCCCATGTCAGTAGAATAACATATTTATATCTTTGGCCTTCAAGAAATTGAAAATTGGAATCCTTCCATTCTGCGTAAAGATCTTGTGTGCCAAACATGGGTAAGCCTTATATGCAGGTTGCTTATTCCTAGACTGCCTGAATACTAACTAGTGCTATATACTATTTTCTTCTCAATGTTCTGAATGAGAGCCAGAATGACATTTTATATAAAAAACTAGATTGTTTTAATTGTAATTTCCAAGGCTAAAATGGAATCAACATGGGGTCAACCTATTTTCCAAAACAACTGAAGGCAGGACAAAAAACAATGGATGGAAACTAATCAAGGAGAGAAGAACTAAGGAGAAATTTCGTGACAGTTAGAACCAAAGGTGGTATTCAGCAGGTTCTGACCAATTCTGGAGAATCAGTAGCAGAAACTTTGAGTAGTTTGGAGAACCGGCAAATATCACCTCTGACTGGCCCCATCTATTCTCTGCCTCCTGAGTCCCAGCTGATCGGCTGGGTCTTCTTTTGTTGCCTTGTACAGGAGAACGGAGCTGGAAAGCAGGTTAATGGGGCGCGGAAGGAATGGGGATTTTGCAGTATCCTTCCACTGCCACACCCACCAAGCCATGCCCACCAAGCCACTCCCACCAAGCCATGCCACACCCACTAAGCCACACCCACAGAATTGGTAGTAAAAATGTTTGAATCCCATCATTGGATAGAACAATTAATCAGTGGGACAACTTGCTTCCAGAAGTTGTGAATGCTCCAACACTGGAAGTTTTAAAAAAGAGACTGGACAACCATTTGTCTGAAATGGTACAGAGTTTCCTGCCTGAGCAGTGGGTTGGACTAGAAGACCTCCAAGGTTCCTCCAACTCTGTTACTCTGTTATTAAGCCAGGGGCATTTGGAAATCTACTAAAAGTATTCAAAGTGTTCCATTCTCACTGTCTTTTCTTTCTCACTACATTTAGGCATTTAATGTGGTCTTCCAGAAAGCTGTCTCAAGAGCTCCACCAGATGAAATCCTGAAAGAGCGAGTAAACAACCTGATTGATAGTATCACATTCTCAGTGTTTCAATATACAACTCGTGGACTCTTTGAATGTGACAAACTGACTTACATAGCCCAAGTCACTTTCCAGGTAACTTGTGGGTTTGTTAACTCTCATACCAGTTACTTTCTAAGCGGTGTGCACTGGTAAATAATGTTCTCTATGCTGCAACATTTTGCTTAAGATATATCAGATTGTAGATAAGAAATTCTGTAATACTTTCAGTGGTAGATCATTGTCTTTGAGTCTCTGTATGATGGTTAAATTAATGTTCTAGATCCTTCATTGTATTGTGGTTCAGTAAATGGAAGGGAGACAGTTCAGTACGAAATGTCTGCAACTCCCAACTTCTCTCTTCCACCCACTTGCTAGCATTTTGATATTTTTTAGCATCCGGAGTCTTCCTTCTGCCCTTGTAGCCTCCATGAAATGTTGGCAAATTTCTATAGTTCAATCTGGATTTTTATTTCAGATACTTCTGAAGAACAAAGAAATCAGTGCAATGGAACTTAACTTCCTGCTGCGATATCCTGCCCAAACAGGAGTCACCAGTCCTGTAGAATTTTTGACAAATCATTCATGGGGTGGCATCAAGGTAACTTTTATACTCCAAATGTCTTTACTAGTAATGATTGTATTGAATAAATAAGTATGTATGTATATATGTATGTATCTGTTCATACACACACACAGAGAACATTTCTGCTATTAAGCCATTTTTACACCCCAGTTGCTGGTGCTGGTTTTTTTTTTTAATCTTGCCCTTTTTCCATTATACAACTTAAGGTAGCAAGAACACCAATACTCCTTCCTCTTCTTATTTACCCCACAACAATAACCTGGTGAGTCGAGTGTAGAGAGAATGGCTGGCCCAAAATCAACAGCTGGCTTTTTTGCCATCCTAGTTTCTAGGCCAGCACCTTCACTACTACTATAAACTGCTTCCAGCTTGAGGTCAAATTATTAAAGCAACATAAGACCATGGTGTGATTGAATGTAGATTATTTTTTGGGCTACATTTACCATCCTTACCAAAGCATGATCTGTATGGCCAGCTAATCACAAGAGCTCAAGCTGTCCTTCAGCAATAAACGAAGAACTGACTAAGAGAAGGAAGAAAGAAGTAAAAAAGGTTAAGGCATAAATTGACAGCTCTGAGGAGGATCTCTTGTCTTGACCTGTAATACATTTGCATTCTTGAAGGAAAACATCAAGGACTATATGACTATTAAGGTCAGTCTTACATTTTTGGAACCATTTAATAATAGTGTCAGGAAATAAACTAATGGCCAGGGTAATTTTTTAACAAGGAAGTTAAAAAAAATGTGCTTTTTATAATTAACCTCTGCTTGCCTGGCAGCATTACCTTTTAGCTGAAATTTCTGAACATTTTTCAGGGCTCACCCTTGTAAAATGCTTTGCAATTGTCCAAATGGTATATTAAGATATCTTGCCATGTATGGTTAGAAATTATCAAATGATGTGGGAATCTGGATGATTAAAAAACAGCAACCCAGAATTGTTACTATTTCTTCTAGGCATCATGAAATACCTTCCTATTGTAAGAAGGCATAGTTAATGAAGGCCCCAGTTGATGTAACTTTAAATGCAGTTGGGTGATTTTATCTGGAATCTGATATAAAATAGTTTATAATGGGATATCAGATAGAATAAAATGCAGTAAGCTTCTGATCTCTGAAGAGACTCAGTTCTTGTCAGATGTAACAGTAAAATCAATTTCTTCACAACAATGGCCATTATGAGTTAGATTGTTTGCTAGACTTATTTGGAGATTTCTACCAAAATTGCATTTGAAAACCAGGAAACTCATTTGGTTCTACTTAACAGGATAGGACCCAGGAACCCCCATGTCAATTATCTCTCCATCCCAGAGGTCAACTAGATTTTCAGAAGACCTGATAGCAAATTAATAGGGAAACTTGAGCGGGAAGCCATTTCATCGTTAGTTTCCTTGCACGGATCAGCTTACTAATTGGTAACCACCCCCACAGAGATCTCCCAATATGGTAAATCCAAAATATTATGATCAAAGATAATTACTTCATGCACCGATCAGAATTCTTCCATTGAAGAAAGGTGTACCAAGCATATGTAGTATTAAATGAATATAGCTAGTCAAGAATTACAAGTAACCCTTCATTTACAACATTTGTTAAGTGACCAATCAAAATTACAACAGCAGTGAAAAAATGACTTATAATCCATCCTCATACTTACAATCATTGCAGTCCCCATAGTCATGTGATCAAAATTGGGATGCTGGACAACTGGCATGTATTTATGACTATTGCAGTGTCCTGTTTGTGACCTTCCCAGCTGACTTATGATAAGCAAAGTCATAAGCCAGTTTGGCTTAATGACTACCTGTTCACTTAACACCTGTAGTGACCTGCTTAATAACCATGACAAAAAGGTCGCAAAATTGGCTGCAACTCACATAACAACAGCCTTACTTAGCAATGGAAATTCTGGTCCCAATTGTGGTCATAAGTCAAGGACAACCTGTGTCTAGTTGTTCATTATGGAGACCTGGAAGAAACCTCTGCTTGCCATGGTGGTCTTGAAGTCTTGATCCATTCGTTGTAGGACATCTATTCATTGACCTCTTCAGTAATGAAATCCTTGAAAACAACTAGGTAGGTTAGAAAGTGATGTTAGGCTATTTACGAACAGAACATGGTCAAACACACATTCAGATGCACATACACACTTAAAAATAAGAGCCGTGGTGGCACAGTGGTTAGAGTACAGTACGGCAGGCTACTTCTGCTGACTGCTGATTGCTAGCAGTTTGGCAGTTCAAGTCCCACTGGCTCAAGGTTGACTCAGCCCTCCATCCTTCTAGGTCGGTAAAATGAGGACCTAGATTGTTGGGGGCAATATGCTGATTCTGTAAATCACTTAGAGAGGACTGTAAAAGCACTGTGAGTCTAAGTGTTATTGCTTAGTGCTAAAATGCTATCTGAGAGGACCTATGCCTACTCTGTGGTGGTACCTTCTCTCTAGAACACATTCTTCAAGAGATTCTTATGGGCCTGACCCTGCTGGCTTTTTTTTTGAAGTGTTAAAGACCTGTGTGTTCATGAGGCTAGATATTTGATGAACATGTTTTTTTGTGTATATACATATGTTTGTTGGACCTAGGGTTATGGGCTTTGAATTCATGTTTACATTATTTTCTGCTATTTATTTGACTTTTTAAAAAATTTATGTTAGTTGCCTAGAGACACAAATGCTGTTTGGGCAAACAAACAGAATGAGTGTGACATGACAGACACATTTTAATCAATTCCAATTAGATTCCACAATAGAAGTCAATTTGTTGTGCTTATTAGGATGAATTCTTGAATGGCTGATTCCCAATTATATGATTTAGTCAACAACTGCATAATCTTGGGATTGACACCAAAGGCAACTTGAGGGATTGTAGTGGAGCAACCAACACCTTTTCTAATGATGACCACCGCCTTCTCTCTCTGTCACCCCAGATATATTCTCCCTGCTTTATTCTATTTTTGCATCACTCTATAAAACATTTATTGGTTGCTAACAAGCAATATTTCTGCCTTTTCTAATGGAGACTCATATCCGTGGCTCTTGTCTTATATTACAGAAGAACAGTACTGTCTTTTTAAAAACTTTGGATAACCAGAGACCCCAACTTCCTGCCCTTCTTGTTCCTCTGACCTGTAATCTGCAATAGGAACAGGGAATTTTACAGATGCATGGTCACATCAACAAACAGCCTTTCATATTTTAATGGCAAAGTAAGAATGGGTCAGTCCTTGCCCCCATGAAGATCTTCTGCAATACCAGCAAAGTGTTTTGCAGTGTCCTCCATGACAGAATAAAGTAGAAAAATGATCCATGAAAACTAAATTGGTCTCATAGTGCCAATCAGTTTTACAATATAAAATTCCTCACATGTTCTTTTAAGAAGGGAAGGAAATGCTTTCCTGCTTCATCAACTTCAGGAAAGTGCTTGACTCTGCCTAACAACTCAGGGTCGAGCCTTAAATTGTTAGAGAATGGAATTGGCAAAAAAAAAGATGTGGTCTCATCATATCTCTTATCCAATCCATCAAATGCTGGAATGGATTGGAAACAAAGACAATCAAAGAGAAGAGAAGTAAAAGTGGGAGAGTAGCTCAGATGGGTTTGGTTCAAACAATTCATCAGGGATGTTCTGACCTCTTAGAATAGTCATAAAATCCAAGGCTATATTTGGGTGGCTTGCAGATTGTGTTTATTTGCATACAAATCCTAGACCTGCTGTTACCTGATCAAGAAAGGCTAGGAATAAGTTTGCAGTTCTTTGAAAACTTCTGAAATATACAAGCTAGACTGAAATAAGCTTTGCTTTAGTCAAACTAAACGTTCTGTTCAGGGGTGGGATTCAATTTTTTTAACAACCGGTTCTGTGGGTGTGGCTAAGTTGGTGGGTGTGGCTTGGTGGTCATGTTATTGGCTGGGTGTGGCTAACTCAATATCACTCACATTGAGGCACGTGTCTCCTCGCCTGGCCTCTCATGACTGTGGGGATGCTGCAACAGTCATAAGTGTGAAAAATGGTCATGTCACTTTTTTCAGTGCCATTGTAACTTTGAATGGTCACTCCACACAAGCAAAGTACCAGCAAAAGAGGGGAAAAAACTCCAGAGAAGTTCCTGATGTAGGAAGTCTAGTCCTGCCAAGAATGTAATAAGGGTTAACGGAGAGGCAGTTTCTGTAAGCAATACCAGAATGTTTCCTTCCTGCCTTCCTTACAGGATTAGGCCAGTAATTTCTTCTAACAACTGGTTCTCTGAACTGCTTAGAATGTTAACAACCGGTTCTAGCGAATAGGTGTGAACTGGTAGAATCCCACCCCTGGTTCTGTTATAAAAGAATTAAGTTCAAGCATGCTTTAAGTTGGGCATATGCTGTTGCTTCTGGAAGCATACTAGAAATCATCAAAGATCTTTAGGGAAACTTTCTGTAGAAGGAGCAAGATGCTCCTTCTTGGATTGTTATCAAGAGAGATTCTGACCATCGTTATAGTCTAGAAGTAAGTAATATAATAGCAATAACACTTAGACTTATATACTGCTTTATAGTACTTTACAGCCCTCTCTAAGTGGTTTACAGAGTCAGCATATTGTCCCCAACAATCTGGGACCTCATTCAATTTGGCCCCCAGGTTCCCTGACCTACATGATTGTGTGTGTGTGAGAGAGGTGGGGGGGAGGGCATGTAGGCAGGCAGGCAGGCAGATGAAACTGATGAAATGCAAATCAAAGCATCAGTCTCCCTTATCAAATTTAATAGGCCTGTCAGGTGCCTCCAAGAGATGCATTGCTTTGATTGGACTTCTAATGAAGTGCCACTTGGATGTACTTTTGCAGAGGAAAAAAGTGACCCTGCTTCTAGGTGCTTAAGTCACCGTGCTGGATTGAAGTGGCAATTTTGCTGGTCTTGCAACAGACTGCAGTGTTTTTCCCCCTTTGGAAAACCCCAAATAGACAGGCAAAGAAAACCTTAGCAAAACTGACTTGATGGGAGGCATGAGGGTAGAGGACTTCTCTTTTCTATGTT